TAAAAACAACAAGAAGCCAAAGTTCTAAAGAGCAAGAATATCTTTTTAAAGACTAAGGTGTGCCTGATCCAAACCGTGGTATTTTCAGTTGCTTCCTATGCATCTGAAAGCTGGAAAATGAATAAGGAAGACCAAAGAAGAATTGATGCCTTTAATTGTGATCTTAGCAAAGAAAACTGAGTATTCCGTAGACTGTCAAAGGAACAAAGACTCTGTCTTGAAGGAGGTGTGACTAGAATGCTGTCCGGAGGCAAGGATGACAAACCGTCCTGTCACTAACCTGGGTACATTTTCAAGAGGAATGAGTTACCATAGAAAGACATCATGGTGGACAGGTGGAGGGTCAGAGAAAGGGAAGAAGACCCTCGACTGGATGGACTGAGTCAGTCACTACCACAGTGAGCTGGTGCAGGACACAGACTGTGAAGGGGTTTCCAGATAGAGTTCAGATTTGTTGTTCCCGGGGTCACTAGGAGTCGTATCCAACCCTAGGAACATGGTGCAGTGCTCACAGGCTGGGATGCTAACCTAAAGGTAAGCACATTGGGTCCCCCCAGCCCAGTGCAGCAGAGAGCTGGGCAGCCCCTCCTGTAAAAGCGACAGCCTCGCGAGCCCAGTGGAGGGTCGCCGCCATCCGGAACAGACTTGACCGCAGGGTCTGGTTCTGGTAAGGTTACACCTGAGCAGGTGTGCTCTCAGCCTCGTCCTTTACCAGCCACCAAAGAACAGAGCACACCAGGAACCCGCGGTGGGAGGATGGACCCCAGGAATACCAACACCAAGAGGGACGCCCCAGACAACCTGACCCTGATTTAGACCTTCAGCTTCCAGACTGTGAGAAGAAACACCTGCTTTTCAGAGTGGCCCCCTTGTGATGTGCCTGTCCCCTCAACGATGGGCACTCAGACAGGAAGGCACGGGCAGCTGACAGGTAACCTCAGAATGAAAAGCGGGATCTGATTTGGGCAACTTCTCCCGAGCTGCTGAGGGAGGGAGGGTATGACCAAGCACAGAGGTGGACACTGGGGGTTTTGATGGGCTAGAGGCCAAGACAAGGGAGAGAAGAGAGGAGCTGGAGCTGGCTTCTGCAGGCCGCGGTGAGCTGAGGACATGAAGGCCAGGGGCACGCGGGCCCTGTGTGGCATGGCGACAGAGCTGGGTGAGGTGCAGCAAGGGCGCACTAGCGGGGGCCCTGGGGGACACTGACACTCTGAGGAAAGCCTTCTGTACCTCCACGGGGCATCGAAAGGAAGGACCATGAGCCTGGGAAGATTAACACAGCAGGAGGCATAAAGGCAGCTGGGCAGGGGCCTGAGGAAGTGGACGAGTAGAGGACAGAGAAGATGGAGAGGACACTGGAGAGAGAGGGTACAAAGTGGACACTGGAGCTGCTGACTAAGGAGAACCGGGCGGCTGTGTGTTCCCTCACCTCTGGATGACCAGCTGCAGGGCGGACAGGCCAGTGACGCAGACACCACGTCGCAGAATTTCCTTTATGAAGTGACTTAACACGGTTCACAAGAACCGCCAAGACAACTCACAGGCATCTGGGGCATTCCTGCGTCTTCACCAGCAGCCTGGCACTCACTGAAGTCATCCACCCCCAACGGTCTCCCAAGGGCCACCTGTGGTCCCAATGTGTGGTCACACGGGACCCCTCGTGTGTGAGAGCTCTGCCGTGCTCCATCAGGCTTACAGCCGTCACCACTCCAGCAGCTGACGGCCAGGCCCCCTCTGCACTGCTCTGGGGAGAACTGAACCCCCCAACCTTCCTGTTAGCAGCCCACCACATTAACTGTTACACTGCAGTTGAGGTGTGCACCACCACAGCCATCTGAAATTTAAAAGAGGAACTCCTCTGAAGAAACTGGGGCACATGTCCTCGACTTCCACTTCTCCCCAGGAGGATCTGAGCCCCACTGTCTCCCTCGTTTACCAGTAGAGATCGAAAAGAATATCCAACTCCTTCTTCACTGGAAATGAGAATTTATTATGTAGTTATTTCAGGAAAACACATATTACATGCATAAACAGACATTCTTGCAATCATCATATTTCATTTTAATAGTACTGGAGACACTAAAGGAAGCCAACAGGCAAAATTAATTTCATTCACAATAAATGAAGCATCAGACAGAGAAAAGCGCTCAGCTGTGTTCTGAGACTAGCGATGTGACTGAGAAGTAAACACCACCTTCTTCAGAGGTGAGCTTCTCGCTAACTCTTCCCCCAGTGACCCAGAGTGCTATAGTGTTGTTGTTAGAAGCCAAGACTCACGTGAACTCACTCTATGAACAACAGATTTTAACCTTGTCCTGTCATATGCAGGATTCACAATCTCTGACTCAAGTCCACTGCCACAGTCACATTCACGTCCATTGCCACAGTCACATTCATGTCCACTGCCACAGTCACATTCATGTCCACTGCCACAGTCACTGTGTCAGCCCACCTGTTGAAGGTCTTCTTCTCTTTCGCTGCCCCTACTCCTTCCCCAGCATGATGGACCTCTCCAAGGAATACCCTCTCCCAGCCACATGCTCTAAGTATGTGAGACAACATGTCTTCATCTTTGCTTCCAAGAAGCACTCTGGCTGCAGCTTCTCAAACACATCTGCTTGTTCCTTTGGCAGTCCATGGGAAGGGCCAGTCCCCGGAGAAGAGTGTCAAGCTGGGAAAGGTAGAAGATAAGTGAAAAGGAAGACTCTCAACAAGACGGTGGGACGCAGTGACTGTCACAGTGACTGCCACGGTAGGCACAGCAGAGATTGTGAGGTTGGCACAGGACTGGGCGATGCTCCGTTCCACTGTTACAGAGCGGCTGAGTCAGAGCCTCAAACAACAGCAGGACATGGTGGGCTCTGCAGATATCAAAGTATCCCATGTGAGTGGCAGGAACCAAAATGCGGCTCACACATTGCAGAAATCCACAAAACCAGGAGGAACTTGGACAGCATCTCTGTGCTGGAAGACAAGGAACTACAGCTTTCCCTTCAAATCACTGCCATTTAACCATCAACATTTTGATAGTTGTTCTCATCTTGGGTTTTTTTATTTCTTTTATATTGGTTTGTTTAACAAAGTTTGTATATATTGTGTTTCACATTATTCTTCATTCACATTGTATTTCATACAAGCATTCCCACGCATTGTGTTTTATAAAATTAATCACCATTGGACCTTGCCCATCATTTTCCTGTTTTGTTTTGGTGTTTTTTTTTTCAGGTCCTCACCAAATCCTTCCCATTTCCTTCACCTCCTCCCTCCACCCGCAAAATTGTGCAATCCTGTGGTTGACCCCTACCCATCCTCACTCTCTGCTCCCATCTCTTCCTCCCTTAGATCCCCATGCACGTTTTACTAGTTATCCTTCGATTTTTACAATAATGGTCTTATGCCGTATTTGTCCTTAGAGACTGAGTTAGTTCACTCAGCATAATGCTCTCCAGTCCTTCCCAAGTTAAGCTGACAACACACTGAAGAGAAATAAATGGAGACAGTTGATCTAAACAGAACTCTCCTCTATAAGGGTGGAGAATGTACTGTTGACCACCCCTCACAACAGGACAAAAGCCACACCCTTCTGATGCACTCTCTGCTTCAAGGCTGCCAACCATCTCAAGGAATTTCCCATGTCCATGAAGGGTCAGCTCAGGACTTGGATTCCAAGTGGGTCGAGAGACACAGGCTGTGAAATCTTCCACTGCTGGTTAGTCCTCCTCAACGTGAGACACAGATGAGAAGGCCAAGTGACCACAAGAGCAACTCTCTGGAAGCAAGGTGTACACTCCTCAGGCTCAGTAGCTCATGGGCTTCAGAGGTGACCACAGAAGACCGACCTTTATCACTCCAGACGTGCTGTTGATTTGAGAATATGCCCTTAGATGTGAGAGAGGGAGATGACACCAGGGGAGTGTCACTAGATCACACACTAACTCTTCACAGTTGTCTCCTAGAGAAGCTTATTAACTCTACCTTAATGAATTGATTTTGTCATTGTTGATGATGTTGCTTGGTGCCTGTGGTGTCAGCCTGAAAGTTAGGGGTTTTTGTTGCTTTTTTTTAAACCATTACAATTAAACCCTCTGGCCTCCAGCTACCTGAACTGCAGACACATGGTCTTAACAATCATCAACAGCTCTGGGACTAAGGTAAGAGAGTGTCTCACACTGGGTAGCTAGACTTGAGGGGCGCTCAACTTGTGGCATCAAGACTTGAGATAGCAAGATTTAAGGAAGACTGGAGCAGATCTTCTTGGTGAGATCCTAGTAGCGATGATTGTAGAGAAACTGTGGCAGTGCTGTGGAGAAACTGTGGCCAGGGGTAACCTGCGGCTTCTTGCAATTGTGCTGGCCACAGTTAAAAGTTTCGCTGTTCTTGCCAGATATTTGATGGGGAAGCTCACTTATAACTGCTCTGAGGCAAACCTTGCTGGATGATTTAGATTTGACTGCTGAAAACCAGAGCCTGGACTTATTGTGAGATATTCTTTGCCTCTCTCATTCATTTTCCTAATAAATGTCATTGCTGGTACCAGTAGCTATGAGTGTGAGTCAAAAATGGATAAATTAACTTCTTGCTGCTGGTGGGGCTCCAGAGGCACCATGGGCCTGGGCTGCAGGTTCTTTCTCTGCCTTCTGCTCTGGGGCTATGCAGCGCGGTGCACTCCCTCTGAACTTTTCAGAGAGATGCTCTTGACCCAATGCCTCCATGTCCCATTCTCTCCTACTCAGTGCCACTGAGTCCACTACAATTCATAGCAGGTAGTGGTAGTGGTGATGATGGAAGTGGAGATGGTGGTGCTGATGGTGGTGAAGGTGGTTGTGGTGATGCTGGTAGTGGTGATGGGGTAATTCTGGTAGTGGTGGTGGTGGTGATGATGGTGGGGGATGGTGATGGTCGTGCTGGTGGTGCTGGAGGTGAAGATTGTGGTGATGATGGTGAAGGTGATGATGGTGGTAGTGGTGGTGGTGGTGGTGGCGGTGGTGGTAAAGAAGGACATGGTGATGGTGGTGGAGGTGCTAATGGTGGTGGTGGTAATGATGATGGTAGAGACAGTGGTGATAGTAGTAGAGGTAGTAGTAATGGTAGTGGTGGTGGTGCTGGCGCTAGTGCTGGTGGTGGAAGTAGAGGTAGTCGTGGAGGTAGTGGCTGTTGTGATGGTGGTGGTGATAATGATGGTGGTGAAGATGGTAGTGATGACGGTAGGAGTAATGATAGATATAGAGATGGTGATGTTAGTGGTGGTGGTGGTGATGGTACTGTCAGTGGCCATGGAGGTGGTGATGATGATAGTAGGGGTAAAGGTGGTAGTAATGATAGAGATGGTGATGCTGGGGGTAGTGATGGAGTGGTGATGGTGTTGGAAGCGCTGACCGTAGAGAAAGTGGTAACACTGGTACAGTTGGTAGTGGTGGTGGTAATGGTGAAGGTGGTGATGCTGGTGGTGGTAATGGTACTAGTGCTTGTGGAGGTTAAGGTGGTAGTGGTTGTGATGGTGGTGGTGATGGTGATGTGGAGGTGGTGGTGATGATGGTAGTGGTAAAGGTGGTCATGATGATACAGAGGGTGATGGTGGTAGTGCTGGTGCTAGTGCTGGTGTACTTGACAGTGGATGTAAGGGTGGTTGTGGAGGTGGTGGTAGTTATGGTAATGGTGGTAATGGCAGAGATGGTGCTGGTGTTAGTGATGGTGATAGCTGTGCTGGTG